CACTATCTTAGTCCAGGGCACTATGCCACACTGGAAAGAAAGCAGCAGAGCTCAAACCCCAACTCAGAGGTGTATGAGCTGTGTGACCTTAGGCAAGTCACTTCCTCTGTCTCTGTTTCCTCATCTGGCAGGTAAAGGTGATAACAGTACCTACCTCACAGCCCTGTTGCAAGGATTAAATGAGACATAAAGCCCTTAGAACAGTGTCCAGAACATAGCAAGCAATCTGCAAACACCTATGCCGACTGCAATCCTTAAGTCTCCTGCAGCCTCATGTCACAGCCCTCCCCAAGTGCCATCACCTGCAGCTCCCCAGAAGCCCAGGATCTCTCCTACCCTCTAGCCTTTGTGTATGCTTTTCTGGCTGACTCGTGCCCTGGCTTTCTCCTCCTTTCCCAAGGCTCAGCTCAAGAGCCACGCCCCCACACCCCCAGGCTGAGGCAGCAGCGCTCCCCTGTTCTCCCTCCCCTGGAGCCCACCGCCTCATCCCACTGAACTAGAATCACTGCTGCCCTGGTCTGTTTCCCCTGCTGGACTGTGTGCTCCTGGGAGAACACTGTGCCCAGACCTTGGAACCAAGCACTGCATACACTGAGGGCTCAATGAATACTTAACAAGAAACAGGAAAAACACAAGAAATATAAGGAGCCAAATTTCAACTCTCTATAACCAAAAAAACAAAACCTTCCTAAGAATAAGGCTATGCTTGTCAAGCATTCCCTGTATGCCAGGCTCTGCACTAAGCTTTGGACACACATATGTAATCTAATGCTCACAATGACCCTGTGATGTGGGTATTTTTATTCCTGGTTTACAGGTGAAGGGACAGAGGCTCAGGAGGTTTTTAAATTTTTCACAGCTAATAAGTGGTAAAGTCAGGATTCAGACTCAGGCTACAGATCCCATCCTTCACCCAACCCTACACTGGCTCAGAGCTCAGGACAGAATGAGCTGGCTCTGATTGAAGAGAGCACCTTCCCTGATAACCCCATGGCCTCTGTTGGGGTATTAGGCAGGGGCTTCC